AAAGAAAAAATGCAATATCCTTTTTACTATATTTAATATTAATCCTACCATTAGCTAAAATGATTTATTTTAAGCATAAATTTAATTCCTATGAAAGAAAATCAAATTTATTAGTATACTCTATGAAGTCAATTTTAGAATAAGTGTAAAAATCTAGAAAATGGAATATTAGATAGGTGTTTAAAATAATAAGATCGAATATTTTAATGTTAAAATAATTCAATAATATAAATATAATTTTATAAACACGTCTCATCATCTAAAACACTCGTCATCTCTCTAAAACTCATTCTCTGACTTCTCTTTCCCTTCCTTCTAAGAATTTCAACTCTTGAGACTTATGTTCGATGGTGAGTTTTCCACTTTCAGTCGATCAGTCTTCCATGCAGAGTAAGTCATTTTCTACTCCTTTTCTTCAGTTTTCAGTTTAAGACAATGCAAAGGGGATTTTCCGCATGTGTCATTCAACCTCTATTGTTAGTTTGTAGGCACAATTAGATTCCTTTGATCTGTTGGAGTTGTTTGAGATTTTTTAGGGTCGTTTGGTCATCTAACAAGTAAGAAAAACTAATATTGTCTTTAATTTTGTGTTATGATACGTGAGTTTATGCTTGCTATATTGTGTTGAATAATGTTATGTTGATTTGTTTGTAATTGAAATTATTGTTTTATTGTTAATTGTATTTTGATGAATGTGTTTGGTTATTTGATGCATGATGACATTGATGATTTTGATTTGGACTTGAATGAGCTTGTGAATGTTGTTATGAAGTATAAATGTATAAATTTGATGTAATATTGGAAAGTAGAGAGTAGGCTGAGTTATAGGTTGGTTTTTGGTCTAAAATAGAGGTTTTGATAAGTGTGAAGTTGAGGTAATAATGGTCAAATGGGAAAACTGTGTTTTAGTCTGTTTTATAGTCATTTGAATCTTGTTTAAGCTTTGAGTTAAGTGAAATCTGATGTAGAACTGGTTGGTAATTGATAGGTTGAGTTTGTATGGTTTTTTATTCATTTTTAGGGGTTTTGACTAGTAAAATTATAAAGTAGAGGATTTGTGTTAAAGTAGAGGGTTTGAGGTCTATTGTTGGGTCAATTGTGACTTTTTTAGACCCCTTGGTTGCCAAGTTTTGTGTTAGAAAGTGTGAAATTGAGTTTAGGCACTTTTCAGTTGTTGAGTTGGTTTAGTGCACCTAGTTTTTGCCTAATGAGCAAAGTGACACTTCATTTTTATTAGGATATTTATCCTAATTTATCATGATTATATTGTGTCAAGGGTTACCCTATTTATCATGATTATATTGTGTCTAGGCTTACCCTATTTATCATGATTATATTGTGTCTAGGATTACCCTATTTATCATGATTATATTGTGTCTAGGGTTACCCTATTTATCATGTACTTTTGTATCAATTTATTCTTATAAATAGAAGACTATGAGAGGGATCAATCAAGGCCTCTAGAATTATTTTACAGTTTAATTCTCAAGTATTTTAACCATAAATATGTTTAACATAAATTCTAATGTTTGAGAAACCTATTTATTTGTTGGATGAGTCACAATGCAACCAAACCAGAAAAAAATATGTTAAATGTAAAAACTAATAGAGATAATCGATTATATTGATTATCTTAGTCAAAATGTTGTGTTTTCTTCAAAAATTTTGGAATAATCGATTATCAGATGTGATAATTGATTATTTCAGTCAGAAGGTCATCTTTTTATGAATTTTGTCTGGAATAATCGATTATCAAGTGTGATAATTTATTATCCTTAAAAGAAATTAAAATTTGTTGGGCATAAAATTTGATGAATATGATGGTTATAGTGATCTTGTTTCGATCATGTGGATGGTAGATGGACATAAATCCATGACTCTCGTTGAGAGATTCCATGGTGATGCCCTGTAGAGTAGGTGTTGATGTAAGAAGTTCAGTCTTGAAGATTATCCTGACGCTCAAATAATCGTTCCATCTTAGGTAGAGACGAGATTATGTGGTGAGGAGTAGCAGGAGACCCTAGTCTAGGTGCTCCATTTTGGCCTAAGATGTTGAACAAACTAACCTTGTTTGTATGGTAGGGTGAAACCCATTGACAATGACTCTGTAGAACGGTAGAGGTCACCACAAGTGCATAACTCGTCATAGCTCGACATCAATACCTATATCTAGATTTTTCAAGTTTAGAATATGAATATATTCTTAGGTTCTTGTTTGATTTTAAAGTGAAATGTGTTGTATGATGAATTATAATTGTATGATTTGATTCGTTTACAATATTAGCTTACCCTTGTTGTTTTTGTCTGTTTATGTGTTTGTTTTCTTTTGCAATGATCACATTAATGGTGTGAGCTTAGGGGAATGTCGGGGTTAGCAGGTGCTAGGAAACGGTGAAGCTAAGGTGTAGAATAGGAAGTTTAGTTTTAGAAATTTTTTATTTTTGTAAAGACCTTATTATGTTTTTGGTTAAGGGTAAGGAAATTTTGAGATGTTACATTAATGTATCAGAGCAATTCGTCATTAAGATGACCTTAAGGTTGTGGGTTTGTCCCTTTCCAATGTAGAATTGAGTCTAAACGTTGTGGTTTGTCATGTCTTTCCAAGTCTGGATTGTAGAGTTTGTGTATTTAAGTGGAAGTATTGAGGACTTAAAACGTCTTGATAAGAGTAACGGGGGTGCACACTCATGACTATATTAGAGATGATTTCCTTTCTTAATTGTGAAGGTTTTGGGAAAGGAAAGAGTTGTGGTTCGAGTTTTGTTTTCTATAGTGGTTATATTCTTGTTCTTGCCTTTGTTGTAGTGTTTTATGCTCTATAGTGCTAGAGAAATGTAAATACAAGAATAACTTGACTTGTATACCTTTATTAGAATTGGTTAAAGCCTTTAGAACAAGTTTTTGTCTTGAAGATAGGAAGATATGGGGTGTTAAAGCTAGGGAGTTAGAAGACCAAAGTTTTTGGGTTACAAAGAATGGAGAAAGATGTTGGAATTCATAAGCAAAGTTTTTCGATAGTCTAATAACATATACAAAAATTCCTTGCACACAAACTATTTAATAAAAATACCAAAAATAGTTTCTTGTGAACTTTGTAGTTTAATTGAGATTTAATTGAGTTATTGAGTGCAATAGTTGTTGAGTGTTGAACAACTCTCTTGAGAGATAACGACATAAATACTTATTACTTGCTACACTACGATCAGTGCACTTGCAACCAACAAAGGTCCTGGACTGACCGTGACCCACAAGACTTGTGTGGATATTTTGATATCATGGACTTTTTCAATGAAAGACTTTTTGACCCTAAGAGCTTTGTCCCTCTTAATTTTTTTTCATATGTATAATTTGAAATATATTTTCTTAAAATTTTATTATATTTCATATACTTGGTATCTTAACCAAATTTATATATTTATATAAAAGTTTTGGCCCTCTTAATTTTTCTTCTTTCATATGTATAATTTGAAATATTTTTTTTTAATTTTATTATATTTCATATATTTGGTATCTTAAAAAAAAATTATATATTTATATAAAAGTTTTAGCTCCTTCAAAATATTTATTGAAAACTCACCCCACAAAAGAATACCTGGTGAAGAATCATAGATGTGAGAGGATTCCTTTTATGAAAAATCTTTCTAAAGAGGTTTCAGACGTCATAAGTGTAAGTAATGGTCATCTTATTCAATGTGAGTGTAAATTTCATACACAAAAAGTTAAACATCTTATAAGAAAAATACTTATAAATATGTTATATAAGGTTGTTGAATATAGTGAAAAACTATATTTGGATTAATCTCCCTTGTGTTAAATACACACATAGGGTTCTCTATTTATAATAGAAGAAATATGGGCTAAGCCCAAAATACAAATGAGAAATAATTACAAACTAACTAAAAGATAAAAGATATAATATATCTAACACTCCCCCTGAAGCTGGAGCATACAAATTGTATGAACTAAGCTTGGAATAGATGAACTCAGTGTTGAAGGAGAGCAGTGGTGGACAATGACAAGCTGCAAGGACTGATTCCCAATCAATGATGGATGAGTGACGGGATCAACAGTAGTAGCTGAAAGCTAAGAGCTACAAAACTGCAGGGACTACACTAAATCCTCATCAATGATGGATGGGTGACGGGATCAACTGTAGTAGCTGAAATCTACAAAACTGCAGGGACTACACCCATTTATATTTGCTGTGTCTTGGAAACGTACTCCCCTCAGTGTGAACGGCGGAAATGTGGAATATCACAGTTGCTGAACCACTAAAACAAAACAAAATATTAAGCTATAATGCTGAAACAAAGGCATCAAAGATCCAAAGACATGTTGGAGGTCCAAAATTCTTTGCTGGACAACTCCCAAGTGGTGATACTTAGCAGTGTATCACAAGAAGATCGGGCTAAACTCTAGCCCAAGAAGAACTGACGCAGTTGCGTCTGTTTGAGACGGTAGCGACTGCAGCGACGGTTGATAGCTATAAAACTGTAGGGACTAAATTGCCATCACTGACTGATGGGGCCTGTAGTGGCTGGAAGCGACAAAACTATAGGGACTGCCATCACTAACTGACGAGGTGATGGGGGCCTACAATGGTTGGAAGCATTCGGTGCCTGGACAGCGGCAAACGGCGCCTGAACAGCGGCAAAAGGTGCCTGGACAGCAAATTTTGAGTCGATCTTGCTCAAGATCACATTCTCAAACCTAGACTTTTCATCTCTAGCCAAATCTTTCTTCGTAGCACCCACTCCTAGAATCAACATCCTTAGCAGTGAAACAGATTTCCAGTAGAAGAAGTCATTTTAAACTTAGAGAAGAAAAGGGACTTAGGGTTGATATCAATATCTTACGTGAGTTTCAATCTAACTCATTGGTATTAACCCATTACATTCTTTTGAGTTTCCAATATATTTCCCTATTCAATGTCCAGTCGATTAATGCATGCTGAAATTTTCATGCAGTCCAAAAATATGATGCATTCCATGTTCAATAAGATGAAATAGTGCAGTGTGAAATAAATTAGCAGAATTGCAATGCAATGTGTTACAGACTGAGTATTGACAAAAACTGTTGTAAATAACACCCTGATGCAGTTTAAAAAGAAGATGAAGTGAATATAGAAGGGCAAGGTGGCACAGAAACTGTTGTAACACCCTCAAGCATCTGTGTAACCTTTTTCATGGAAGGTCTGAGTGAAGGATCCTCTTGAATGCACCAAATTGCAACCATGACATGCTTCTCCAGCCTCTTCATATCATCCTTTGCCTCCTCATCATTTTCCACCAATTTAGCTACATTCCCTTGGCTATAACATCGATAAGCCCAATCTATGAGTGCCTCTTCTTCACTTTCCAACGCAAATGCAACACTTGACTTGCAACATACGATCTCTAACAGCACCACTCCAAAACTGTAAACATCTACTTTGGTTGTGATTGTAGCTTTCCTAAACCATTCTGGTGCAAAGTAACCAATTGTCCCTCTCAAACCAGTTCTAGCAGCTTTAGTTTGCTCAGCCAGCAACAACTTTGCCAAGCCAAAATCAGAAATCCTTGGAGTGAAAAACTCATCCAGGAGTATATTCTGAGGCTTTATGTCACAGTGAATTATCTGAGTGCTGCACTCTTCATGCAAATACGTGAGCCCCCTTGCAATCCCCAAAGCAATTTGCACTCTTTGGTTCCAATGAGGCCTTGAGATCCCAAAGAGAAAACCAGCCAATGAACCATTGCTCATGTACTCATACACCAAAAGACGATGCTCCCCTTCATCACAATAACCAAACAGACGAACCAAGTTTCTGTGGTGGGTTTGTCCAATCACACTCACTTCTGTTTTGAACTCCTTCTCACCTTCTTGCACAACCTTGTCTAGCCTCTTCACAGCAACATACCTGCTTGCGTTTGATCTCAACACCCCTTTATAAACTTTTCCAAAAGCACCTCGACCCAACATTTGTTTGAACCCTGTGGTTGCTTCTTCAAGCTCCTTGTAGGTAAAGTGACTGACTGTACCAACTGACAGGTTCTGACTGTTCAAAAGCCTCTTGTGGTAGAAAATGAAAAAAGCAGCAAACAAAGCAACAAGTAGAAGGACATTGATGAACACTGAGCTTCCAAGGAGTATTGATATGACAATCACAAGTGTAGTCTGTTCTTTTTCATCATTGTTTAAATCTGTTTTAGGCACCTTGACAAAAGCTATTCTAGTCACATTCGCGTGCTTCCTTCCATTGCTCATTGGATACTTCTTCTTCCAACAGCTTCCATCACCATATATGGCCACAGCACAAAAGCAATCTTCAAGGCACCTTTGTTTGCACAAATCCTTGTCCATTCCAGTTTCAAACTTATCATAATCTGAGAGAGGCCAGTCCAAATTGGGATACTCGTTGAAATCTACAAGATCCTTATTCTGCTCCCACCCGTCTCTGTTGCAACTGGGCAGTGGAAAATCTGGTCTACAACCTATGAGATTGTCATGTTCGAAAGGAGAATAATGCTCCGGGCACTCACAATTAGTCCTCTCACCGCTGCTAACACAGTAGCTGTTAAAACCACAGATAACATTCCCAGTTTGCTTCGTGAAGGAAAGGCAAATATCATCTGGATGCTTTTGCTCCACACTCCACCACGTTGAACTGCAACTATTAGCCACAGCTTTGTTCTCATCTGTATTTGAAACACAGATACAATCAGATAAACGCAGCATCATAATTCAAATTAAGAACATATTTCTGGAACATTAAGACTGACATGGTTCTATATCTTTTATCTCAAACGTAGTTCTATTGGATTCTCTTAACTATTTTTAAAAGTTTTGGATCCTTCACCTACGCATATATAGTAAAGTATAGAATAATATAGGTATCAGATACAGATACATATCAAACACATATACATGAAACAAATGGAAATGTCGATGTTTCATAGGTACACACCTTTTGGGTGCCGATATAGTCTGAAAACCCCATCAGGGTCAATTCTAGCCATGTAAAAGAACTCATCAGATCCACCATTTGTGATATCTCTGATCACTGTGCCCGTGCCATTTTTTATGTACATGTGTCCAGACTCATCAAAGAAAAGCTGTGATTCAGTTCCGACAGTTCCAGTGGCCCAGTAAGCGTCGTGTGTTGGAGACTGAGAGCTTTCAGCATCATCGTTGCTTGATTTTGGAGAATGGTAAAGAACCAAATTGCTATCACCCTGCCAACTGAGTTCAAAATTCCCATCATCAAAACTCGTGTCAGATTGGCGTGCTCTGAAGCTTCTAGGCCTAGACAGATTCTGACCAGGCAAAATAGTATCTGTGGGCTCCTCAAAGCTCTCCCAAACCCTCTTCCCATCATCATCCACAAGCTCAAAACTTCCATTGTCTAGCACAAAAGCACATGATACTAAAGAATCAGTGTTGTTTTCTGGACGTTGCCACAACATGTCATGACCCTTTGGATCATACACGACAATTCCTTTGCTTGTGAGATTCACTGTTGATCCTAACGGAAAAAGATGAGTTTTTTCTTTTCCTGGCTTTGCATACCAAACCATGGTTTTGTTGGGGTCTTTGGCAAACCAAACTGCAAGCACGGACATGAACTCCTTGTTGTCGTATAGAACTGATTCGAAACCAAAGGCAAAGTGGCCAGAAGGTGAATTCCATGCTGTCGTTGAATCTTTGCTGTTTAGAGAGGAGGTTAAGTTCACACTAGAACCACCACAGTTTGAAGAAGTAGCAGTGAACAAAGATGAGAGAAAGAGGAGAACAATCAGCAGAACAACGTACGAATAAGGAAAAGGAAAAGTTAGAGAAGCCATCGTAGCTATCAACCAACCTATGAATTTTGATTCATCAAACAACATTTTTATAGCATATGATATGTTGTCGTGGTCTCCTGCCACTGTATTGTTTGATATGGTCTTTGTCTTTAAGCTTTTTGTTTCTTAGCTTTGTATGATAACAAAAGGCAAAATACCCAATTTTGTCCCCACTTTGGTTCGGAAATCTCAAATTAGTCCCTTTATAGAAAAGTGAGTTGAATGGATCCTTACTTGTA